TGTGGTTCAGTGAGTAGGGCACCGGCCCCATATACTGAGGGTGGTGGGTTCAAACCTGGCCCCAGCCAAACTGCAATAACAAAACAAAAAAAAAATAGCTGGGCGTTGTGGTGGGCGCCTGTAGTCCCAGCTACTTGGGAGAATCGCCTAAGAGCTGGAGGTTGCTGTGAGCTGTGATGTCACAGTACTCTACTGAGGGTGACAAAGTAAGACTCTGTTTCTTTTTTTTTTTTTTTTGCATTTCAATTTTTTCTTTAAAAGGAGTGAGTTGTATACAGGGGGATTAAATGCTTTATAGACAAGGAAAAAACCTGCGCTAGAACCAACTTATTCATCATCATCACCTTCTTCTTCATCTTCCTCATCTTCCTCCTCTTCCTTCTTTTCTTGCTTTTTTCAGCCTTGACAACTCCCTTTTTCACTGCATCAGGCTTTCCTTTAGCTCAGTCTGCAGCAATATCTTTTTCGTATTTTTCCTCCATCAGGCTGCTTGTCATCCACAGCAGTGTTAATCCACATCTCTCCCAGCTTCTTTGCAACATCACCAATGGATAGGCCGGGATGTTCTTCTTTGATTTTGGGGCGATACTCAGAACAAAACAAGAAAAAGGCCGAAAGAGGCCTCTTGAGTGCATTGGGATCCTTGAACTCTTTTTTGTTTCCCCTTTAGGAGGGATATAGGTTTTCATTTCTCTTTCATAACAGGCCTTGTCCGCCTTTGCCATATCTTCAAATTTTCCTTTCTCTTTAGCACCCATGGACTTCCACCTCTCTGAGCAAGACTCTGTTTCTTAAAAAAAAAAAAAAGTTTCAGATTTTGGAACATTTCAGATTTCAGATTAGCAATGCTCAATCAGTATATATATTACATATATATTATCGTACTATAATAAGCTGGTATCATACTATGTATGTATTTGTATAGTTGTTCATCTGTGTTATTTAGTCTGCTACCTACTATAGTGCTGTAAAGATAATGAAAGAATAGATTATGAAAACATTTTATATAGACTTTATAAATACAGTAGAACCTCTGTAAATTGACCACCCAAAGGACTGTACCAAACTGGTCAACACATGGAGGTGGTCCACATAAGGAACTAAGCTGATACATACAAGTACTTCCTTATGCAGCTTTTATTAGAGAATATCATATAAAAACACAGTAGAATCATTCATATAGTATCTTTTTTTTTTTCTAGAGACAAAGTTTCACTATGTCACCCTCAATAGAGTGTTGTGGTGTCACAGTTCACAGCAACCTCAAGCTCCTGGGCTCAAGCAATTCTCTTGCCTCAGCCTCCCAAGTAGCTGGGATTACA